TTTTACTGTCTTCTGGCACTTTTTGCAAGTACATCGCCGATATTGCCCAAAAATCGCGAACTTGGCAATTCTCTTCTTGCGCGGGATCAAAGCGAACGATCCCGAGCGGGCAAGATGGATGGGCCCATTATGGGCCCATCTCGCCTGTTCGGGTAGCCAATCAGAACTTAGGATTTGCTTCATATTGCCCACAGGCGCTGCCAGTGATACAGTAACGTGTGTTACAACGCCTCACAAAATGTAGTAGCGATGTATCATGAGTAAGATGTCTTCTCCATGTTGTGTTTTTCATTAATAGACACCCCTGGCATCAGCTGCCGGCAAATCACTGAAATGACTCGCAAGCTATGCGAGCCAGAAATCCCTAGTCCCAGTACAAAGGCTGGTCGCAAGCTACCTAAACAAAAATATACGCCAACCAACTGGAGTGCATTTTGTGCTAACCGATGTCTTATTTAGGCTAACTGGAATGACTCGTCGGTTCGCACTTTGCGAAGACCCGAATCATGTTTGGGGTCAATCTGACTATGGTCGGCCTTTCGGTTTCGAATAACCTAAATGTCACAAGTAAAATCACTGTCGTCATTGATTAGATGTGTCTGATTTATTAGCCGTAACTAAGTCTTCCGCTAAACCCAATTTACGTTATTTGATGTTGGTTGAAAGGATGAGAAAAGAGACAGGTTTTAATACTTCTCATTGACATTTTGCATATTCAATTGTGCCCTGCCTGGTATCTCCCTGTACCTTATTGGGTTTACGGAGCACGCAGGCACCCGGCTCTATTTGCAAGATTTTTTGTTGCACACGTTATTAGAAGATTTTTTGTACATCATTGGTATGAGCACATCACATCACTTCAAAGTCCGTGAAAAGTCAGAGAATTTTACCTTTAGGTCGCAGCAAAGTTTTATTAGAATTTTTGCATCGAAAAGGCAATTTTGTTTCAAAAATTACATATCTTTATTTTTGTTGAATCACGGCTACAATACTCATCCCGCGGGGTCAGTGGAAATCGCCAGAGTCAGGGTATTTCTTTTCACTCCGGTAACCAGGAGAGAGAATTTTCAAGAAGCTGCTAAATAGTACTTTTAAGACTATTAACAGAGAAGATCATCTGCTATTAAAATAAAGCAAACATATTGACAACTTATTGATTCGTCAATAGTTCATGTAAAATGTTTAAACTTTTGTCTTTCAAGAAGACAAACTTTAAGATATTCATTAACCAGTGAGAGTCGTTTAAAAGATCGACAACTGATGAAAAGTCGCTGACGTCACATAACCTACCAAACCGTCGTTTAGCTAAGAAACAAACGTTCAAAAATAATTCTATCCTTAATAACAAAGAAATTAATATTATTACATGACAAACCAGATAGTAAACAGGAGGAGCCTCTGACTAATTGGGACGAAAAAGTACCAGGCCTCCTCTGACTAATTGGGACGGGAAAGTACCAGGCCTCCTCTAAATTCCCAGTCAGTGCCAATTATCGCTTCAGACAAACACTGTTTTCCCACGTCTGTTACCTTCCAGTTGCCTCGGAGGCCTAAGCTTCTCAGTTTGCAGTTGGTATCGGTGATGGCTCTGCACAAGTACTTAATTCCTTCATCTCCTATTTTATTGTAACAGACGTCTAAGCTCGTTAATATACAGTTCTTGTTCGCTGAGGTTCTAGCTAAGTCTTTTAATACTGTATCCCCTAATCTGTTACGACCGACATTTAAGCTGGTTAAGTTGCAGTTGCTACTCGTCAGAAATGTAAACAAGTACATTAACCCTTTATCCCCTAAGCCATCGTCACTTGCACTGAAGCTGGTTAACTTGCAGTTCACACTCGTTACCGCCTTACACAAGAGCATCACTTCTTTGTCTCCTAACGCACAGTCACTGACGTTTAAGCTGGTTAACTTGCAGTTTACACTGGTTAGCGCCTTACACACGAGCATCACTTCTTTGTCTCCTAACGCACAGTCACTGACGTTTAAGCTGGTTAACTTGCAGTTTACACTGGTTAGCGCCTTACACAAGAGCATCACTTCTTTGTCTCCTAACGCACAGTCACTGACGTTTAAGCTAGTTAGCTTGCAGTTTACACTGGTTAGCGCCTTGCACAAGTGCATCATTTCTTTGCCTCCTAACCCATTGTCACTGACGTTTAAGCTACTTAACTTGCAGTTAACACTGGTTAGCGCGTTACACAAGTGCATTATTCCTTCATTTCGCAACCAATTGTTACTGACGTTTAAGCTGGTTAAATTGCAGTCCCTACTGATCAACGCTTCACACAGGTGTTTCAATTCTTGATGTTCTAAACCACTGTCACTCAGGATCAAGCTGTTTAGGTCACTCTGAGTAAGAGCTGTACTCAAGTTCTTCACGCCTTCATCAGATATCCGACTCCTGGAGAGGATTAATCTGGTTACATTCCAGTCCCTGTTGGTGAACGCTTTACACATTGTTGCCAAATTAGGGTCGTATTTTGTTGGCCACGCCCTCAATATGCCTGACGTTGAACTGTATAAATGTTGAATCCTTTCGTCCTCGTCCCACACTTTATGATACCAGCCCCTTGGCAGTTTACGTTAGGAAAGCTCATCCATAAACAGCAGCACCACTCGCCAAGCTCCTTCTCTGATGTGAATATGAATAGTTAAGAATTTTTTCAGTTCGTATTCATCCATTGCTTCTCGTAATTCCGTCAAGGCACGAGGCGATTGGAGTACTTAGGGATTAAAACAAAAGAAATATTTATCTTTCACTTGAAAACATAACTGAAAAAAGAAACTCTTTTATGTTTAAAAACTAATAAAAACCGTCGGTTGTTCAATACCTCGCCTACGTATGCCAAGTTTAGCTGACTCAGTTAATAAGTAGCTGACATAGCTCTGGAATTCCTCGGGTAAACTGACATCAAACTTCGCCAGTCCTGATCTAATGGTCGAATACATAGTATCTATGATAAAGGACATAAAAAAGTAAAACTATTTCAGTCACATTCTCAGATCAAAGAAACTGTTATAAAAATATGGAACTTCTATTAAAGACAAAGTTATCACAAACTAGGACAAAGCACCATGGACACGCCTTATGTCAAATTTACATTTGTCGTTCAAAGATAACACCGACATGTCATGACATGAATCAGTACTACTGTTGGCAAAGTTCATAGCCTCTGGTGGTGCAATGTGGTTACTGTGACCTTAAGGTGACTTCAACAAAGGCTCCGTAAACATATCAAACTCACGGGGTACAAACAGTCTCTTACTGAATTTCGTGACCACGCCCACTTCATCGGCCCACTCAAATCGAGTGCGATTTTTGGATGTTATATCATCTTGCCGACTCTCTGTATAAAAAGTTCACAATGTACCACCGAAATATTGAACTATAATATCATGGCTTTCCATTTTGTGTATTTTCGTACTACAAAGTAAAGTTTTTCCCTCGTCATTTTCACCTTTTCTCGAGCGGGTCCGTCAAAATTAAGAAGGCGTTCGTGGTCAAAACAAGACCGAGCAAGGAGTCTTGGGCGATTTCTCTCTTACGCAAGCGCAAATTGAAAATGTACCGCCAAAATCAAAGAGAGGAACAAATTT